CTTTCACGCATGGATTACAAAATGAATACACAAATGAAGAATGAGGACAGGAAAACAGGAAACATTATGTCCGCTTTACAGATGAGGACATCAAGACTTGGAAGTAAAGTGACTCACCCAAGATTACATAGTTAAGACTCGGTCCTGGGGCACTGCTTAATCCAAAGCTGTTTCTGGCATACCAAATAGTATGTGAGCATATCATATGTGTGTGTGTATCTGTGTATGTGTGTGTGTATGTATCTGTGTATGTGTGTGTGTATGTATGTATGTATGTATGTTAAAATAAATAAATAAAATATGTATATGGTGAAGAGATGGAGACATTATCAACACCGGAAACAGTTGTTGTTATGTGCTGTCGAGTCGGACCTGACTCACAGAGACCCCTCTTTGGATTTCCAAGGCAGTATCACTATGGAAGTAGACTGCCCAACCTTCCTTCGGAGGAGTGACTGATGTGTTTGAACCACCAGCCTTCTGGTTAGCAGTCAAGTGCCTCAGGCACTATGTCAAGGCTTTAAAAAAAAAAAGCAGAGGTGGAGGGGTGCGGGGGAAAAGCTTGCTAATCAAGACTTATAGATGCTGGCCCAGCCGGGTCCAGGTTACCAGTGATCGGCAAGTCACTAACAGCACCAATCAGGTAGAGGAACTCAGACCATGTGATCATCAGGCACTTCTCCCAAGAGATCATTCATATACGTTCACGAGGGAGGTTCCCTAAGCATCTCACCTTGTCAGCCACTTTGTTACTCTGAGTCTTGCAGAGCACAGTAACACCTCCACTCCAGTGTCCACTGTGCTACTCTTCTGCACAAAGCACAGCTGAGGTCCACCAGGGGCACAAACATCCCCAATCATGAACATGATTCATAGGAGACACCCTTACTCAGAGCCTAAAACCTTCATTTTAGAAATATTTCTAATAAATCTGATTAGTTTCTTAGTACTGCTGGAGAAAAGCAGCAAATTAGAATTGGACATAAAAGCTGCTTGTTACACTCAGGCATATAAATGTCACTTTTGGCAGCTGTCACACAGGAGTGGAAAAGGAAAAAGAACAGTCCAGAATTCAAAATGTACTAATCTGGGGCACCAGACACAGAGCTAAAGTGTTCTTCAGGGCTTAAAAAACCCAGGATTCAACACTGTAGCCTAACATAGTAACAATAAAGAGGATTCCTTTATGCAGGAGATCAAATTCCGTTAGTATCCTTTTATTGTTGACAAAGAATGGGAAATAAGCATTTCAGAAAGAGTCTTGCTCAAAGTAAGAATACTTTTGAGGGTTTCACAAATTCTTAGCTCATTAAAAAAAAAAATTGGGTACCAAGTAAACCTCATTCCCAAGAGATTTCAGGAATCTAAAATTCTGCTTCAATAGAAAGATTCTTCTATAAAATACCACGTAATTCAGGTTTTTCCATAATTCTTTCCAGTCCTTCTCCTTTCCTACCCCTCTCCCCACCAATCCAAGTTAATGAGGTTTTACTGGAACCCACCATGAGCCACAGGTAGAGACTTAACCCATCTCCGCCCTCCCTGTGGAGCTGAAGCCAGGAGTGACATCACCTCTAGAAGGCTCCGCCGGAGCCCGGGTGGAGGCAGCTAGCGCCTCCCCCACACCCACTCTGCCAGGCCATGGGGAAATGTCTCTACTAGCCCCCATAATTAAGGCAAAAAGCGATTTTATGCCTTTCAAGAAAGAAAGAGAAACGGCAAATGAAGTATTCCAGAACAAGCAATTTTTCTTATATGGTGGAAACAAAAGACCAAAGGACACATACACCTAGAGAAACCTTTTTAGACAAACCTGTTCTAATCCACTGGGAGTGGTTTTGAGCAACCTCCTGCCCTAGCATCCTCCCCTTGCCCTTTCAAAGTCAGAAGCCCAGGAGTCACACCCTACCTCACTGGGCCCCAGGGATTTTGTGACCTGCTTCCCACTGGGGCCAAAGTGAACCCTCCAAGAGGGCTGGATCTCTGCAACCAGAGGACATCTCCCCCATTCTAAGCAAATTCCAAATGTCATTTCTTTTAGGAAGGGATGTCAGAAAGCACTTTATGCCCCCACTTTTAACTGTATACCCACTGTAAGAGGGAGAGAGAGGGCAGGGCTGCGAAAGAGAAAACACACTAAACTTCATAAAGCAAAAAAAAAAAAAAAAAAATCCACCTCAGCTCCAAGCCAGAGTCTGACTCCAAAACTCAATGTCTTCAGGCTCAGGTCAGCCACCCTCCTCTAGGAAGCCTTTCTCACCACCACAGCTTTCCTTCTCTTCTTCCTTACCTCCTAAAGACTTCCCTGCCTCCTGGGCCCACACTATTAGTTCCGTGTCTCCACAAACTGTCAAAGCTTCTAGGTTAGAAATAATGTCTCCTACTGCAACATCTGTCCCTGCCCAGCCCACAGGAAGTGACACCCAAAACCAACCAAACCCACTGCCGTTGAGTTGATTCCAACTCATAGCGACCCTATACAACAGAATTGCCCATAGGGTTTCCTAGGCTGTAAATCTTCATGGAAGCAGATTGCTACATCTTTCTCTCATGGAGCAACTGGTGGGTTCAAATCGCCAACTTTTTGGTTGGCAGCCAGGCACTTTAATCAGTGCACCACTGGGCCTCTTTGGAAACTTCACAAGGAATACTAAATCCTGTCTGCCTCCTCAGTGTGAATTGGCACTCTGAGATCCCAGCTTACAGGAATGTCAGACCTCACAGAGGCAACTACCACCACCACCATCACCTTTCCACAGTTCTGGCTGGAAATAGGCAGGGTACCCCACCTAAGCAGCCTCATCTTCCATCAGGTGAGAGTAGAGTATCTAAGTAATGCCAGGTGGGCCAGGAAGGTAAGCCAAGCAGCTCCACTTTCTTCTCTAGAGTATTAACTATGATTCAGAGTGCAATCTGAATGGCAACCCCAAAGAGAAAAGGAGAAATGTCACTTTTTTAGAATCAAAAGCCAGAATTGCACTGGAGATTCAGCTTGGAAGTCATATCTCCTCCCCAGTGTCAGATTACTCAACAAGTAAAGTAAGCATGAGCTTACTTGTGCTAATTTACTAATCTATAGTAAACAGTTTCACTCCAAATCTTTGATTTTTCACATCAAAGATGTGATTGGCATCTTTCTCTCTCCTAACACCATAGCACCTTCCTACAAAAGCAAAGCCTCTTTTCAAATTTACAATCCTAATATGGTGCAACCCATGTGATACTATTCCTACAGATTAGTAATTAATCACAAGTAAATCCATGCTTACCCTGCTCCTCCCCATAGCTCCCCAGATCTGCCTCCCCTACTCCAATCCATCAGTAATTCAAGAGGTATCAAGGACCCTCTTCCTGGACTTCAAACTGCTTCAAGCATAACAAAGAAGATGCCTTCAGTTCAGCCTCAAAAACAACTGTCCCTACTTCATTTGAGACCCACCCACTCCACTGCTATGGAGTGGATTCCAAGACAGCGACCCCATAGGAGAGTAGAATTGTCCCATAGGGTTTCCAAGGCTGTTATTCTTGACGAAAGCAAACCGGCTCATCATTCTCCTGCGGAGCAGCTGGTGGATTCGAACAGACACCTTTTGGTTAGCAGCCAAATGCTTTAACCACTGCGCCACCAGTGTTCCTGTCAAGTGAGACAGACCCTGTAAAACATGTCAAGGCTCTCAATAACTAGCGGTTTGAACCTACCCCCACTTCGCTGGAGAAAGATGTGGCAGTCTGCTTTTGCAAAGATTTACAGAAACCCTGTGGGGGCAGTTCTACCCTGTCCTATAAGATCGCAGTGAGTCAGAATCCACTCGACGGCAGTATTAATGTAATACAAGAGGAACACTTAAGTGGGCAAGATTTGCTGAGAGCCTTGTCTACATTCCACACTAAAAGTGGAAGACTCGGGTGCCCATCCCCCGGCCAGCGCTTCTCCCCTGCCCACGTGCCTCCCTTTGCCAGAACTAGAGAAGTCGAGCTGTCCAGATGTGGCTGCGAGAGACCGCCACTTCCGGAAGGGGAAGAGCCCCTCGCTCCACACCTCCCCTCTCCATCCTGGGGGATGGGCGACCCGACCAGCTGGGAGGGCCCTGGAACTCCAGCCCCCGGTGTAGCGAGAAGGGCTGGTGGGGAACAAGGGCACCCCGCGGCCAGCGCTGACACCTGGCGGCGGCCCAGGTCCCAGACCGCGTTAGGGGCCAACACCTCAGGGCGGTTCCCAGGAAGGGTTACAGGGGCCGAGAACAAAGCGCCCCCACTGGGGAAGGCGCGCTAGCGGACGGCTGCTGGGGCGGGAGATCCACTTTCTAGGGACCTTCAGGCTGCTGCTCTTTGTGGGCCTGGCCCCTCTCTAGAGGGGACTAACTCCCCCGCCAAAGATGAGAGTCTGAGTCCTATCCAATCTCCGGCTTATCCAATCTCCGGCTTCTAGCCCCCTGCCAGCCTCGGGCTCCACTTTTGTCCCTCCCCCCGTCCCAGTTCTACTGGGCGGGACGCCTTCCCTCGGCGCGGCTTCAGTACAAAGCCGAGCCGGGGGAGGGGGCTCAGTTTCGGTAGGGAAAAAGAATCATTCCCGAGTCCACTCGCATGGAAGCCGCAAGCCCGCCTCCGCCGTGCCAAGGAAAGAAACGCGCCCCCTCCGGGAAGTGCACAACTTCAGCAGCCCAGAACGTGGGTTCCTCTGGGTCTCTAACGTTTTAGGCCAAATTCCTGGAACCTCCGGCTGCCAACTTTACTCAGCTCACCTCGAGCAGCCAACGGAAAGTCCAAGGGCCCTACTTCCACCCTCCGTTCTCCGCACGACCCCACACCCCGCTTCCTTTGCAAAGGCGTCCACCCACTCCCGCGCCCGCTCCGCAGCGCCTAAACTTGCCTTCAGGGAACAGGATGGGAGAGCGGACTCAGGGCGCAAGCCAGCAGGTCTGGTATGAATTAGGGTCTGCGAGCCAGGGATTGTGGCCGCAGTCACTTCTTTCTCTCAGGTCACGGGCTGGGGCGGAGACTGGGAGCCGGCTGCCGCGGTGCTCCGGGTGGAGGTGGAAGCCGGAGATCCCTGGCGCCGCGGCCCGCTGCAGGCTGGCGGTCTCCGAAACATGTGGAGACGTTTTACATACTTGAAGTGGAGCCCGCGCAGGCTCCGCTTTCCGGGGCGCCTCTAGCCCTTGCCCCCAGCGACAGAATCGGCGCTGCGCCCACTGACGAGCAGAGGGAATTGGGAAGGGAGCCCCTGGTTTCGCTGCTTACAGTCCCCAGGACAGCCCGAGCTAGCGCGGGAAGAAAAGTGCCCCGTTTCCCCTCCCCCTCCACGTGCCGCCTGCTGAATCTGCGGATCTGCGAGCCTTAGCTTTCCGTAGCCTCCCAGCCTGTCCCGGGTTGCACTCACCGGGAGAGCCGGCTGCAGGCGCAGCGCCAGGGCGCAGAACCAGAGCCAGAGCCAGAGCGCCGCGCGCCTCATGCTGCCCGGACAGGCGGCGGCAGGGGCTCTGCGGGCTGCGCGGGTCGAGGCGGCGCGGCGCTGTACGGGACTGTTCAGGGTTCCCAGACGCGTCCTCAGGCTCCTGCCCAGGACGTTCCTATCCTAGGCAAGGGCTGCCGAGTCCACTGGCTGGATTCTGCTCTCTTCTGCTGGCTCCACTCTGCTTGGCTCTCGCCCGCACCTTTCCTCCAGAGCTCCGCCTTATAATAAATCCACAGGCCCTTAGCCGTTGCAAAAACTTGCCCCCAACCCCCAGCTCCGCCAGGTCTCGGGATCTGCCCCAATCCCCACCCCCTAAGACCCCGCCCCTTGAGTTCTTCAGCCCCGCCCCTTGGAACACTCCAACTGGGGGCGCCCCAGTCTCGCCCTTGTAGGCTCAGAGCTCGCCACTCTCCTGCTCTGCGTGGGGCAGAAAATCGCCCTCCTCCGGACCCGTGTTACCCCGCAAACCACGCTTCCCAGTGTCATAGTTCCGCTGCTCCTGGGGTGATGGAAGCCGGGGCCCACCCTCTTACACTCCGAACCAAGGTATTGAAGCACAGGCCAGGAGAGGGACGGGAGGGGCGATAGTTGGAGCCCTACAGTAGGATAGAAGCGAGTCTGCAGCGCCCTCTGGACGTGGACTCCAAGCGCCCTCCAGGTGCTCAGGACTCCCTGATCTTGGTGGGAACGCTTTCTGGGGTTGGAAAGCCTGAAGTAATAACTTCAACAGGTGGTCCTCCATCCGTCGCTTCTCTGGCTGCGACCCTCCCAGAACAGGTTCTCAAGGCGCCCGCGTTCTCCCAGGTGTACAAGACGCTGGAAACGCAGGATCTTGATTAAACCGCTGGATACACTTGGGAGAAGCATAGGAAAATTTTGACCTATTTTGGTCATGTTGTAAGAAGGGACCATTCCCTGGAGAAGGATGTCATGCTTGGTAGGGTGGAGGGTCGACGAAAGAGGGGGGAGCCTTCAACGAGATGGATTGACACGGTGGCTGTGATGATGGGATCAAGTATAGCAGGGATTGTGGGGCTGGCGCGGGATCGGGCAGTGTTTCGTTCTGCTGTGCATGGGGTCGCTATGAGTCGGAAACGACTCGACGGCACTTAACAACAACAAAATAACAACACTTGGGAGAAGCATAGGACAAAAGGAATTTTCAGCCTTTTTCTATGAAAGACAATGCTCGCTCTCTCCAGCTTCCAAGCTAAATGGAAAAATAATTTTTTTTTCCCCAGGTGACTTTGGTGGGTATTCTGACCTGAGACTGCAGTGTGTCTCTCTCCTACATGATCACGTGAGGCTCTAGACTTCAGTGTTTCCAACACCTAATAAGCACTTCAAAAAGGCCTGCCAGGGTAAGGCAAACTCCCTGAGAGAAAAGAAGAACCTTTGGGCACTGCCTGCAATCTGGTAGGCAGGAAAGATGGTACGTACAAAATAACCATGGTATCTGGACCTGTAGACCAAAAATGGCACCTTCTCACTCATCTGTCCCAGGCAGAGAGAGAAGCTGGCCTCAGTCTCCTTGAGCTAGGACCCAGTCTCCTTGAGCTAGGAAGTTGGAGACTAATCTTTAAAAGGGGTTAAATGTTCCAGGGTCCTGGATTATTCAGGCAGGGATAGTTGGCTGTGGGCTCCTGGATTCACCCCCACCCACTAAGCAGATTTGCCCTGAGAGAAGAAACCTCCTGCCATCCCCGTTCACTCTACACACACACACACACACACACACACACACACACACACGCACACAGCCATCAGAGTACTAAAAGATGAAGGAACAAATGGCACTCAGACCAGCTTTTGCTCCTGCTCCCAAATACCTCCAAATACCTCTCTTCCCTCCCTGGGTGTCAGCTTCCCCAAGTCTGTCTGTGGGGAATGACAGAGCCTCATCAAGGGCCTGGTGAGACTCCCCTGAGTGCCTTGATTTCACAGATCATGTTACCTAACACAGCTGAGTACAGGGAGTCCTAATGGGTTAACGACACTTTTAGAGAAGGCAGTGAGTGTGTCCATTCCAGAGGCTTGGTTCCACAGGTCTGAAGTCAGCCCTTCAGTCCGTTCAACCCAATATGGACAAAAAATAGGACATTTTGGAATCTTGCCTTCCTCTAGTGCTCAAAATAGAGAAAATTGGAGTCAAGGAGGATTTGATGGAGTCTTTTCTTAAAAATTACTAGTTTGATGTTACTTTTAAACAGAATTTCCCACAGATCAACCTAAGACAATTTCTTTGGGCAAATTGAGAAGAGATGGGGGCCCTACAGAAGGATCCCAAAGAGGACACTACACAAAGAAGGTAAGTGAAGGGTCAGGGCTTGCCTTTGGCCCAGATGCCCTCTGGCCTGCTTGCTCCAAACCTGCAAGAAAGCCTCTTCATCAAAGAAGCTTTCTCAGGGTCCCAAGGACACAGGGACCTGTGCCTCAAAGCTCCTACAGATCTTTGGAAGGCCAAGGTGAATAAACCAGTATGCAGTGGTATGGTCATCCCTGTTTATATTCATCGGCTCCTTTTTGGAACTCCCCCGACCTTCCTATGATCTAATAACTAGACGGTTAATACTTGGCTCATCTGGGGGCCCCCTGCTTTTGCTCTGGGAACACTAAGACAGGGCCTCCATCCTGATTGGTACTCCTACCACTGGTTATTAAATATTTTTTACTATTATCCCTGTGGGAGCTCTGGTAGCATAGTGGCTAAGACATTTGCCTGCTAACCAGACGGCTGGCGGTTCAAACCCACCAGCCACTCCCCAGAAGGAAGGTTGGGCAATCCTACTTCCATAGTGATACTGCCTCGGAAACCCAAGGAGGGGTCACTATGAGTCGGGGCCGACTCGACGGCACATAACAACAACAACAACAACATTATCCCTGTGGACTTATTAACTGCCTTTAACGTTGCTGTCTCTTTTCACTATGAGAAAGAAAGTTCCTGGAGGGCAGGACCATTTCTCCTCTTCTTGCCATGGACACAGAAGGCTTTACTCTGGGAGAAATGCACCTTATTGCTCTGGGGTGGCAGCCTGTGGACAGAGGACAGGGAGAGAGAGATGGTCAACAGCTATGTGGGACTCTATGCACAGGCTTACCCGCTGATGCAGAGAAGTAGAAGCTGATACAGGCTTACTCTAGGCAAGACAACAACGCAACGCACTGCCATCAAGTCGGATCTAACTCATAGGGACCCCTCCTTGGGTTTCCAAGGCAGTATCACTATGGAAGTAGATTGCCCAAAATTCCTTCTGAGGAGTGGCTAGTGGGTTTGAACTGCCAGCCAGAATTCTTGTTAACAGTCACATGCCTTAGGCACTACGCCACCAGAGTTCCCCTTGGCAAGACAGCACTATCAAAACTTAAAATGCACTTATCCTTTAACTCAGGAATGCTACTTCAGGAAATTTACTCTTCAGAAATGTTTTCACCAGTGCCCAGAGGCAAGTCTAAATGTCCATCAATAAGGAAAGGTGAAATAAATGTCTTCCCACACTGTACAGCCATTTTTCCAAATGAAGTAGATAGGTAAGTTCTGACATGTTCATAACATGTCTTTAGGTGCAAAGAGAAGCATAAAAAGGATCTATATATGATATGACCAAGATTTTCTTAAAGTAACAGCATGTGTGTAATGTACATATACTATATTTAAAAAAAAAGAATAAGAACTAAATGCACTGCCATTGAGTCCATTGCAAATAATGGCAACCCCCTTTGTGTTTCCGAGGCAGTAAATCCTTATGGAAGTAGATTGCCCAGTCTTCCTTCCGACATATATTATATATATAAACTAAAAAAAAAAAAAAACTAGGGGACCAAGGTGGGATAGGACAATGTAGGAGAACTTTTATGTTTATTCTTTGTTCAGAAATGTTTATAATGAAAATACATACACTCAAATATAGATAGATAAATACCTTGTTTTACTTTTTAAATTAAACATTGCTTACTGATCAGTGGAACCAGGGATATCATTGCTGATGTTAGATGGCTCTTAGCTGAAAGCAGAGAATACCAGGATGTTTACTTGTGATTTATTGACTGTACAAACACATTCGACTGTGTATCATAACAAATTATGGATCACATTGAGAAGAATGGGAATTCCAGGACACTTAATTGTGCTCGTGAGGAACTTGTACATAGACCAGGAGGCTGTCGTTCAAACCGAACAAGGGGATGCTGCATGGTTTAAAATCAGGAAGGGAGTGCATCAGGGTTGTATCCTTTTACCAAACTTATTCAATCTATACGCTGAGGAAATAAGTAATCCAAGAAGTTGGACTATCTGAAGAAGAACACAGCATCAGGATTGAAGGAAGAGTCAATTAATAACCTAAGATATGCAGATGACACAATCTTGCTGCCTAAAAGTGAAGATGACTTGAAGCACTTACTGATGGAAGGTAAAGACTGCAGTCTGCAGTACGGACTACACCTCAAAATAAAGAAAATGAAATTCCTCACAACTGGACCAATAAGAAGCATCACGATAAATGGAGAAAGACTGCAGTTGTCAAAGATTTCATATTACCTGGTTCCACCATCAACACCAATGGAAGCAGCAATCAAGAAATCAGGTGACGTATTGCACTGGGCAAATCTGCTGCAAATGACCTCTTTACCCAAGCCATGGTATTTCCAATTGTCTCATATGCATGTGAAAGCTGAACAATGAATAAGGAAGACTGAAGAAAAGTTGATACTTTTGAGTTGTGGTGTTGGCCAAGAACATTGAAAATTCCATAGACTGCCAGAAGAACTAACAGATTTGTCCTGGAAGAAGCACAGCTGGAATGCTCCTTGGAAGCAAGAATAGCCAGACTTTGTCTCTCCTACTTTGGTCATACTGTCAGAAGGGACCATTCCCTGGAGAAGAATATCATGCCTGGTAAAGTGTAGGGTCAGTGAAAAAGGGGAAGGCCCTTAAAGAGATAGATTGACACAGTGGCTGCAATGATGGGCTCAGGTATAGCAAAGATTGTGAGGAT